AGCCCTGGGATCATCATGTGAATGAGCCTAAGCTAGCCTCATGGCGGTGAACTGAGACACCCAGCAAAGAGTCTGCCAACTGCCAGACAGGTGAGGGAGGGGCTCCAAGACCACCCAGCCCCGGCTGACTGCAAGGACATGAGTGAGCCCAGCCTAGACCAGAAGAACCACCCAGCCGAGCCCAGACCCTTCCACCAATTCAGAGAATCGAGGGCTAACAAATTGTTGTCTCAGGCCACTGGGTTTGGGGGGTTTGTTATGCAGCAAAGACTAACAGATACACCAACCTGAACACACACTGTGCAGACAACACCTGTACACCCATACATATGTACACAAATGGCCTTCATAGAAAATCTGTCAGCACACACACAGACACTCCCCTTACAGGTCACATACACACACACTCAGCCTTGACCCGACCCCACACACCCCTCCATCCAGACCATTCTCCTGGCTGCTCACATGTTGATGGAAACGCCAATCTGGGAATAGGTGGGTCAACGACGCCCAAGCTCTGTGTTCCTGACCCAGCAGACTTTTGTTGAATGAATGGATGAAGCAAGCAAGGGGCACAGAATGAGCCAGAGTTTGCACCGGTGAGCAGACGGCACTGAGGGGTTCCTGTGGGTAAACGGCGAGGCCCGGCAGCGGGAGCTACGGCTCCAGTTTTTACCCCTCTCACAGACCCAAGTGGGCAGGGACACACAGTGAGCGCTCACCAGCTCTCTTACAGATAGTATTTGTGCTTGAGATCCTAATTTCAAAACTGGTTCCACCGTCCTTTTAAAAAGTAGGGGGTAGGGAGGTTGTTAAAAAGCCCTCGAAGGGTTCCAGGAAGGAACCTGGAACCAATAAATTATCTTCTATGCGTAACTATGGGGAAATGGAGGACGTCAAAGAACTAAGGATGGGTTAAGACGAAACTAAGGGAATGAAAATCAAAGCAGGTAATAAGTCCAGGAAAAACAAAGACTTTCGCAAGAAAGGAAATGTAACTGTCACATGCAATTTGACTTGGCAGGAACATATTCATATGTATAGTTACAATATAAATAACACTAAATATCCATCTAATGGAAAACTGTGATAAATGCAGATTGAAAGGAGAGGAGGGTGAGAAATTTAAATCTTCTTCGATAATAACAATTATATAAAGAAACAGTTTTAATTACTTACTGGGCAATGTGCATTCTTCTAGGCACTTTACATGTTGGATCCTCATAAGAATCCAAAATCTGAAATATTCTTACCACCCTAATTTTACAAATGAGGAAACTGAGGCACAAGGCAGTTAAGTCACTTGCCCAAGGTCATATGGCCAGTAAGGGGAAAGGCTGGAATTCAAACCCAGGCAGTCAGGCCACAAAAGCCACCCTGAGCAGACATCACACCAGAAAGTCAGTCAATATTTGCCTAAGGGCCGCCCTGTGGCTGAGTGGTTAAGTTCGTGCACTCAGCTTCAGCAGCCCAGGGTTTCGCCGGTTCAAATCCTGGGCACGGACGGGGCACCGCTCATCAGGCCACACTGAGGCAGCGTCCCACACAGCAGAGCCAGAAGGACCCACAACTAAAATATACAACTATGTACTGGGGGGCTTTGGGAGGAAGAAGAAAAAAAAGAAGATTGGCAAGAGATGTTAGCTCGGGTGCCAATCTTAAAAAAAAAAAAAGGAAAAAAAAGTTAGATTTTAATACTTGCCTAAAATTAATCAAGAAAACAGCAAGGAACAGCATGTTCCTTAGAAATACGGAGGAAAGTACCAGAAGAAACAGCTAAAAGAGTTGGACGTGGGCTGTTTTGGGGAGCAGAGCCGGAAATGGGAAGGACAGAGCAAAGGGGTGTTTTTCTTAGTGCTCTTTAATTTATGTAGATGCACAGATAGATCCATGAGGTGGGGACAGGAACTGACAGCGAGGGGACACGAGGGAACTTTCTGCGGCGAGGGTGCTGCTCTGTATCCCGGCTGGGGTGTGGGGTACAGTATGCACGGTCTCAACTCACAAATGGTACCTTTAAGATCTCTGCTTTTCACTGCATGTAAATTTTACCTCCCGCCCCCTGCAAAAAAGAGAAAAAAGAACTGTAAACAAATATTGAACTCCAGCTAAAGTGCCTTTAAGAGAAGGCCACTGATGTTTGCAACTTTCTTTGGAAAGCTTCAAAAAAATAAGTTGTCTGACTAGATGGATAGAGGGATAGATAGAGGCCTGATAGAGAAAATCCAGCGAAATATTAAGAAGTGTGCCTCTAGTAGTATACCTCTGAGTATACCAGTGTTCACTGTATAATTCCTTCCACTTTTCTTTGCTTGAAAATTTTCCTAATAAAGTGTTGGAGGAAATACATGAATGTATTACCTGAAAAATATTAAATTTTTAGAAACCTGGATGTTCTGTCCGGGGCCTGGATCGACCCGCACATCTCTAAGCCGTCCTATGTGCGTGTCCGTCTGGGGGGCAGCTGTCACTATGCTCTCGCTTATGTCCCCACCCTACCCTGGGACCCTAGAGTCAGGGACCTATAGATTCCTCAGTCCCTTCCTGCTCTCCCTGGACACAGGACGTCAGGTAGGATGGGGCCTCCCCTCGAATGCCTCAGTAGCAAAACCAGAACCATTTCCCCAAGGACGGGACCAGACCTCTCCAGCCACATCCCATCCTCTGCCAAAAGAGCAAACTGAGGTCCAGCAGGCTGGGAGGGGTGCCTTTCCCAGGGGCCCATCACACCTTCCTGACAGAAGGGAGCAGCCAGGTTGCCGGTCTCCAGAGCCCACGTGTATATAATTAGCCGGTGGGAACGCGATCAGGGAGCAGATCTCATCTCTGCCTAATTAGGGGCTAGGCAGCTGGGGCCAGTCTGGCCTGGGGGAGCTGCGATGGAGGCCAGGGAGCCACAGGGGACGGGGCAGCAGCTGCAGGCCCTCAGAGGGGCTGAAACACAGCGGCTGCCACTCGCTGCCCCTCACACTCCAACTGGAGGCAGAACAATAGAGGGCTGTTTCCCCAGATCTCCAGGGCTGGCAGGCTGGGGCATAGGGGGGAGTGGCCGAAGCCCCCAGCTGCTCCCTCCACAGATCCCCATAAGGGAGGCTGGTAGCTCCAGAATCCTGGCAGAGAGGAAGCCCTCCTGGAACCGGGAAACCCCGATCTGAGAAGTCAAGGCTCAGACTGGCACCTTCTCCACTTGCAAGAGTCTCTCTCGACTGTCTTTCCAACAGCCCCTCCCAGTGCCCTTCTCAGCTACCGCCTGGCCCGGCTCCTGGGAGCAGCTCTCGTCTTAGGGCAGAAGTCTCGGACCATACTTGCTCCACATTATATGACTGACTATTTAGGTGCTTGCTCTTCGCTACCCACTCCCTACCCCGAGACATGGCCAGACCCACGTCTGTCTTACCCACAGCTGGGCACCCAGTAGGTGCTCAATAAAGTGACAAGGAGGAAAGGCTGCCAGGATGGGGGAGACGTGAGCACGTCTCCAGAGAATCAGGGAGCCAGGCTGCCGCTGACCGTGGGGTGTCCAGCAGGCCGGGGTGTGACCCCAGCTGCAGACCTGCTCTGTGACAACCCACAAGCCACTACCCCTCCTGGTTTAAGACAAAAGGTGACCTTGTAAGGTGACCCCGAAAGGTCACCTTTAGGATTCACAGACAGGATGAGTGTGAAAAGTCTGAGCCCGGCTCGTAAGCCTCCTCCAGAGACGAGGGGTTTCCCGGCACATCAGCCAGCAGTGCTGGGATGGGAACCTCCATTTCTCCATGTGTGAAATGCAGCCAACACACCCACCTACTTGGGTTTCTGGGGGGCTGGCAGGTCACAGCAAGGGGCAATGCTTAGTACAGAATTCTGGCCAAGTTGCCCTGAGGGGCTGGTCTTTGACACCCCAAAGGACGGCCCCTCTGCAGACTCTGCCCTGATTAGCCCCCCGACCCCATTACTCCTTTAACATGGGGACCATGAGGCCCAGATCCTGCACTGTCAAACCTGCTGGGTGCCCGTGAGCAGGGCATCACCCTCCCTGTGCCTGTCTCCCCATCTGTATCACGAGGGGGTGGTCTCCATTCTCATGAGCTTGAACACCATCTGTCTATAACCCAGTTTCCCCTTGTTTCCCTGAACCACTCAGGCCTAGCTCAATCCCCTGGGGGCTGGTTATGGACTGTCAGACAGACAGACAGACAGCTGGGCTGACCTGGATGTTTGTCAACAGCCCAACGGAAATCTCCTCTTTATGCTTAAAATAAAACCTACATCAAACCTGTCACCAAGGCCCACATCAGAGCTTCCTGTTTCACAGTCCTGCAGGCTGCGGGACAGGAAGCACCACCAGTCCTCCCCACGCCTACCCCACGGGGCAGAGGCCATCCCGGCTTTCACCCTTTGTGCCCCGGGCCAAGGGGAGTCTCCCAGCAAGTCACTAACCTGGAGGGAGAGGGGAAGGAGCTGAGACCTCAAAGCCCAATGCCAGGCACCTCCTTCTTTCCCCAACCCAAAGAGGACTGTGCGGTCCCACTCTCCCACTGAGGCCCAGAGAGGGAGACTGGCTTGTCCAGGAGCACCCAGAGTGGGAGGCAAGGCCACCAGTTTTGTGCTGTCCACCCAAGTCCCTCTTTCTCCAAAAACTCCCACTTGCAACCTCCAATCTATGGCCTGTGTGATCTCAAGTTCAGGGTTTGCCCTCTCTGAACTTCCTACCCCCTTGGGAACCGGGCAGGTGGTGGGAGAGGTCCCTTTCCTGGTGTAGGGGAAAGACCCCAGGCCTAGTCCCAGGTCCACCCAGACTCACTCTGTGGCCAGACCCAGTTTCCTCCTCCACGAAGGAGGCCTCCCAGCCTCCCAGAGCGGTTATGAGAACCCTATGGGACAAGTCCCAGGCCAGCCCAGCCAATGGCCTCATGTCCCACCAGACCCTGGGGTGGACAATTCCTGAGTTTTGAAGGCCCCGCCCCGACTTCTCCCACCCTTTCCCCATGTGAACACAGAGAGTCTGATGGCCCAGCCCTTGAAAAACAAGCATTTGTGTTTATTAACCAAGAGGAGAGAAGTCAGAGCAGCAGAGACTACTAACCAGTCCCTCCAGAAGTCTACCCACCTAGGCCAGGCTGCAAAGGCCAGAAAAGAACAGGGGACAGGCCACTTCTCCCTGCCCCCACAACAGGGTGAGTTCCCAGGGAACCAGGGCCCACTGGGTAAGGAAGAGGAAGTCAGCAAAGGACAGAGGCCAAGGAAGGAAGAAGGAAACAGAACTGCTGAGCAGACAGGCCTGGCGAGATCTCTTGGCCCCTCACTCGTAGTGGGGAGGGCTAAGTGGCCCAAATCCAAACCCAGAAAGGGACCAAGCAAGGGTACACTCATCAAAAACCCTACACATGAGGGGTAGGGGGTGGTCCAAATGCAAGAGGCAACTCTCCATGGTCAGTCCTTGCCAGGTGGATGCTGGTCCAGCCTCTGAGCTTTACCTCCACCCCAGTTCACACAAGGCAGCAGCCTCTGGTCTGCCCGAAAGCATGTAATGCATGCAGGAGAGGTCAAGGAGCCAAGGCCTCTCTAAGATCTGTCCTGTGGCCAAAGCCCGTCCAGCGGAGTCCTAGCCCTCAGCCGCTGGGGTCTCCCGCGCTTGCCGCAACCCGTACAGCCACTTGATCACGCGGGCGTTGCGCTCTACCACCGACACGCCGTAGGGGACGCGCTCGCGGGCGCGCTCCTCCACGGTGGCGGAGCTGCGGCGGGAGCAGCCCTCCTCGGAGCTGCCCGGCCCAGCGCTGGGCCCGGCCAGGGACACGATGTCCGAGCTGGCCCGGGCCAGGTGGGCCACACCCAAACCCCGTGCCTCCTCAGGGTCCAGGCCGCAGAAGTTAAAAAATCGCTCAAGGTCAGCTGCTGCCCTCGAGAAGCGCTCACTCAGGTCCGACTTGGAGCGTTGCAAACCTGGGGGCCGAGCTGGGCTGGAGGCGGCAGGAGTGCCTGGCGATGGGCAGGGCCGGGCAGGTGAGGCCGGCAGCGGACGGACATCCACTCGGCGGACCGCAGCCGTACTGGGCGGCGGACGTGGCGGGGTGGCCACAGGCGCGTGGCGGGCCCCCTCTGCCCGTCCGGGGGTACGGCTGGCCTCGGCAGGGGTCACGGGACTATCACACAAGTTTATGAGGCTGCTAAGGATGTCCAGGTCCAGCTGGGGCCGGCGGCCAGGGCCAGGCAGGGCTCGGCGGCTAGGTGTAAGCACTGTGCGGCGAGTCCCGGGGCTGAAGAGTGGCTGTTTGGACAGTAGGGGCTGCACAGGTTCCTGACGCGTGTTGGCCACATGCAGGCTCTTGACATACTTGGCCTTGTCGGCCTCCAGGCGCTCCACGGCACTAGGTTTCCGGACTCCACCGTCTGCTGGCCGCCGTAGCAGGTAGCCGGGAACCTTGGTCCGCAGGCGGAAAGGTGGGGCGGGGGCGTCCCGGGCTCCGGGAGTCAGCGTGTCCACAGGCATGGCCGTCACATACCTTCCGAGGGCTTCGGTCCGAGGAGACCTGAGAAATGAGGAGCCAGATCCAGACAGAAAGTTGGCAGCTGGACACCGGCACCGGCTGCAGGGGAGGAAAGAAAGAGATGAGATGAGCAGAGCGCACTCAGACAAAGGCTCAGCAAAGACTGAAAGGGGCTCCAGACGCCTTCGCTGTTAAAAGTGAAGGCCACGCCCCTGATTCACAGGGAGCCAATCAGCAGGCAGAGAGCAAGAGCTGAAGGGCCTGTGGCTCCGCCCACAACCCTCCCCCTCCTTCTCCGAGGACCCGGCCCAGCTGAGGCAGAGGAAAAAAAAGATGCCAAAGAAGACAGACACGGGAGGCCTGAGCAGAAAAAAACAGAGCAAGGCACGATGTAAAGGAAGCAAGGTGGGCTCCAAGGTGGGTACCAGCCGGCTCAGCCTCAATGGGTCCTCTTAACAGCTCCATTTTGCAGAGGGGGAACTGAAGCCCGTTCTGCACGTTAGTGGCTCTGCCCCTTGCCTCCAAGCGAGGAAGTGCTGGCGCAGGGGTCGTGGGGTTACGTGACCAAGAGAAAGGGCTCCAACCCCACACCCCACCTGGACTGCCCACAGGGAGCCTGGTACCACCCCTATCCCTCACCTACCCAGGCAGGAAGCTGCCCTGTGCCATCCACCTGCCTAGACACGCCAGGCCCCAGGCACAGCAGCAGAGCTTGTGGAGGAGGAGTGTAGAAAATCCCCACCCCCGCCCCAGTGGAGTCCAGACACCCATCAGCTTCCAGCATGGGACTGCAATGCCAGGCCCACGGTGAGCCACGGATAGCTGTCAAGGAAACGTCAGCCCTGAGCTAAGCTCTCCGAGAGAAGCTGGAAATACCCAAGATGGCACAGCCCTGCTTGGAGCATCCAGCAGACTCTGGATCTGCCAGCGGCCGTGGGATGGGCACCCACAGGCAGGAGGGCCCATACGTGGGTGCACAAGTGTCCACATGATCACTAAGCGTTAGGGCTGGTGCCCCAGGCATCAGGCCACCCCTGGCCCTTTTTCCAAGGAAGGGCTGGGCCCACAAAGTGCCTGCTCAGCCCCCCTGGAGATGGGCCAAAAGGAAACCCATAAACCAAGTCCTGAACCTTCTCGTCTGTAAAATGGGAAAAGGGACTTTGTCTGGATGATCCCCAAGGGGACTTGCATTTCAAGCCATCTAGACCCGTGTGTCTAATTCAATAGCCACTGGCCACATATGGCTACTCAACCTTAGCTTTAAATAAAAACTTACAATTCAGATCCTGAATCACACTAGCCATATTTCAAGGGCTCAGCAGCCACATGTGGCCAGTGGTCACTGTACTAGACAGCACAGAGAAGCGCATTTCCATCCAGAGCTGAAAGCTGTATGGACAGCCCCACCAAGACAGCCGGCATTCCAGGGGGAGAGTCCGGAGTGGGGTGGAGAAGCAGGAACCTCCACTGTGGGGCCAGACGTTTCACACCATCCTCTCCTGTAACCCACCAACAAGGGTGTGAGATGAGTCATTGTCACCTCATTTTTACAGATGGAGAAACTGAGGCTCAGAGAAGTGACCAACGCAGGTCCCAGAGCCAATAGATGAGACAGAAGTTCACAGGGAGCCTAATGTACTCGTCTGTCACATTTATGGTAGTTTCACTCTTGGAGGTTCCCATTCCCCTCGAGTATCAGCTCTCTGAGGCCAGAGCGTTGTCTGCTTTGTTGGCTGGATCTCAGTTTCAAGATATTGCTCTTGACGCATAATAGGTATTCAATAAATTTTTATTGAATTGAAATGCCTATGAGGGCCAAATGTGAATGGGCAGGTCAGGCATAAACTAGACAAGGGCACACCCAGCCTACTGCAGGCATATGGGTCCAAAGTGGTAGGTGTAGAATGTTCTCGGAAGCTGGAAATCCAGAAGTGCCTCAAAACTCTAGATTCTTAAATGTTAGCATATTCAATAACAATAATTTTAAAAACGTTGCATGTACGGGGCAAACGAAATATGTCTGAAAACACATCTGCCCCCTCCCCCCCATCTGGTCCCCAGCCCCGAGTCTGAGACCTCTGCGGCGATGGCAGGTTGAGAACAGAACCTCGGGGGCTGTGGCCCAGACCCAGAGCTGCTCCCCAGGCAGAGGGGGCGGCCTAGGTGGGAAAGGAAGGCTGCCCCACTCAGGGCCGCCCCCCCAGGAGGCCTCAGGCGGGAAGGGTCTGACAGGAAAGGCAGCCTTGCTGCGCAGTGTCCGGGGAGCTAGACGCTGCCCCACCCCCGGGCCGCCGCCTCCCAAACCAGTCCAACCCGTCGTTGGCGGCGCTTCGCTCCCGGGCACCATCCGCGGAAGAGGAAGGTCGGACGGGCAGGGCCAGCGCAGAAGCCCCGCGCGCCCCCTCCGGCCCCACCTGCCAACCCCAGGGGTCCTTGATGGCGAGCGGCGGGGACAGACGCTCGGAGCCTGGCCCGGCTTCGGGGCCGCTCGCTGGGGCTCGCCCACCGCCCGCCGTGCGTCTTGCGCAAACAGCTGCGCCTCTTAAAGACTCGGTTTCCTTATCTGTGACATGCAGTTAAAAATAGACCTTGCTGAGCCTCCAGGTCACTGGGAGGATGGAGAGATAACCCGGGTCGAGGGCATTCCGCAGCACCCGGCGCGCCGGGAACCGCGCCCCCTATTTTAATCGTGTTTGACCCACCTCCGCAGACCGCGCCCCCGCAGGGGTCTCTAAGCGCGCTCCGCAAGGGCTGTCCGAGCCCGGGCCACGGACAAAGGTCAGTGAGTTGACCTCAACAAGCCCCATTCCACAGGCCGGCAAGCGGAGGTGCGGCGGCTCCTGGGAGTTGAGGCCAGGGTCCCAGTCCCCAGGTGGAACTCAGTGTCCTCTCTGAGGCCTCCTCTCCCCACCCAGCGCCCCACCCATGAATTTCAAATATTACCCACAAATGGCCCCCAATGCGCCGGCCCCGGGCCCTTCTCGTTGGCATCCCCGGGGCAGGCAGCCCCACCGTGCCCCCTCCCCACCTGCTTCCCCGGCGTCAGCCTCAGGAGGCTGCCGAAGGGCAGCGGGGGGAGCCCGGATCCTTGGTCTGGCTTCTGCCCTTCCCCACTTCGGAGCAATCTTGGGGACTCCCGGCGGCGGAGGTGGCCGCGAGCCTGGCAGCGCGCTGTGTGACTCTGGCCGCTAGCCGCCCCTCTCTGCGCCCGGGTTTGCCTGGCTCCCAAATGAGGGGACTGACGGCACGGCTCCTGCGGTCTCGTCCAGGCCAGAAGGTGAGTCCCAGCCTTTCTGAGGAGGGAGGAGTGCCCTGGCAGCCCTCAACCCGGGCCGGACGCCCCCGGCCCCGGCCCCGGCCCCGGCCCACACGTACCTGGCTGCGCCCGCGCCGCTGCACTGCGCTCCTGCGCCCAGCCCATCTGGGGCTCAGGTAACACGCGTTTGCGCAACTTCCGGCGGCCGGCTGCGAGCAGGTGAACCCGCCAACCCAGGTGTTACCCGAAAGGGGAGAACGGAAGGCAGGCGGCGGAGAACCGAGCCCGGGCGCGCTGGCAGTCGGCGCGGCGCCAGGACTGGGTCCAGCGGCCCCGACCGGCCCCGGGAAGCCCTTCCGCGAGCTGGGCTCCCTTCCCCACCTGCACATCGGCCGCGTGGAGCCCCCGGGGCCCACTCGGCACGCGCACCCATTTAGGAGATGGAGAAACTGAGTTCCCCCTCCCCCACCGTCACAATGACCCCCAGTTAACGTTCACCGCGCCCGGCACAAGAAAGCGCTTTTCCTGGTGTTAATTAACCCATTTTAATCTTCCCAACAGCCCCTACGAGGTGAGCTCTGTTATTATTCCCATTTGACTAATGGAAAACTGAGGCTGGGACAGGCTGAGTCAGTGCCCAAAGTCACCCCAGGAGTCCAACCTGGTCTCTCTCCCCGCCCCCGACCGAGACTTAATGCCCCTCCCCCTTTCTAGCTGTGTGTCGTGTCCCTGAGCAGGTTACTGCACCTCTCTGGCCCTCCATTCTGTCAAGCGAGGAGAGTCCCGCCTTCTAGGCCAGGTCAGTGTGGGTTCTGAGGGCCTGAAGAAGTTTGGTGCAAGCTGTAAACGTTAGTAACAACAGCAATAACAATAATAATAACTAGAAGTTCTGAGGGCCGGGCACTGGACCCACCCTGGAAGGGAGGAAGTATTGAACTCCCATTTTACAGATGAGGAGGCTGTCATCCTGCAGGAAGGAACCCCTGAGAGAGAGGTGACTGTCCCCTCTGCCAGCCCAAGCCCTAAGAGGTGACTTCTGGCCGCTCATTTGGTTAGGCTGGTTTCCTCTGGGGTCCTGAGGCCCAGAGAAGGGAGTGACCACTGGCCTCAGACCTGAGCCCTGGGAAGACCAGAGGGGGCCCAAGTCCACGTCTGTGCCTGGTGGGGGCTGTGCCAGGATCAGGGTGCAGGGCATGAGGGGAGGGGACAGGAAGTGACCAAGGAGCAGCGCTCCTCCCCCTGGGGGGAGAGTCAGCCCTGAGGCCTCCTCCAGGCTCTGGGGCCTGATTTTAGAGGGTGAGGGAGGCTACGAGACCTTCATTCCCCACATGGCCTGCTGGGTCCCCGCCTGGCCCTCCACTGAGGTGACAATAGGGTGGGGTTGCGGGCGCTAGTTAGGCACTAAAGCAGTAAAAGCAAAGCAACAATAACCATTGTCGTAAAATAGCTAAGACCTTGCCTGAGTGCTTTCTTTGTCCCTGGCACTGTTCTAAGCTCTTTATATATGTCAACTCATTTAATCCTCACACTTACCCTGTGAGGTAGGTACTACCAGTATGCCCTTTGACAGTTGAGAAAAAGGAGGCACAGAGAGGTGGGGCCACTTGCCTGAGGTCACACAGCTGGTGAATGGCAAAGCCTAGATTGGAACCCAGGCCTGGGTCTGGGGAGGAGGGGTGGAGACAGTCTTCAGTGTTGGGCTCTGGCCACTCACCAGGAGACTATAATAATGGCAATGCTTTCCCAATAGAAATCAGGCTTCATCACAGCTCTGAGTATCCCCCTCCCACACCTCACCAGCCCCCACCACCTTAGGATAAAATCCAAGCTCTCCACTCAGCCCTCAGGCCCTCTGGGATCCAGTCCCTGCCCTCCTCTTCCACCTCATGTCCAACCTTTCCTGCTCCGGCCACGCAGCCCTCCACACTGTTCGTGAACACACCAAGGTCTTTCCTGCCTCAGGGCCTTTGCACCACCTGTTCTCTGCCTGGAACCTCTTCCCTCACCTCCTGCAGGTCTCACTTCAAATGTCACCTCCTCAGAGAGGCCTCCCTGGCCACCCTAAGGCTTCTGCCAACTCTCTCACCCATTTGTTTCCTTCCAAGCATCCATCACACCTTGTCATCTTAGATAGTCACTTATCAATCACTTGTTACCTGTCTCTCCCACTAGGCTGGGAACTCCATCACACTCTTCCATATTTCCTTCCTCCAAGGACCAAGCACAAGACGGGACACCACGGAGCAAGTGGCAGGACTGGAACTCAGGCCACCTCAAAGGCCAAGACCCCTCAGCACCATGCCTCCTTGCAACCCCCGACTGTGCCCCAGACCTTCCACCACTTGTCCCCCTCCCCTTCCAGCCATTAGTCACCCCATTCAAGCTGGGATCCGGCCACTTCTAGCTGAGCCTACTTCTTCCTCTGCGCATGCCGGGTCCACGGTCTGCAGGGCCCTTTTCCGCTCCATCCCCAGCCACCTCTGTAGCATGGACTCTGGGACCTGCCTGCCCAGGTTCAAATCCCAGCTCCACCATGAGACCTTGGGTAACATACTCAACTGCTCCATACCTCAGTTTCCCCAACTGGGAAACAGGACTCCTAACAGTGCCTCCCACCCAGCATGAGGCCTGTGCATGACAAATGCCACCCAAATGGGAGCTGTGACAACTATTCAACCAAACAGATGCTCCAGTGCCCAGCCCCTGGGTGAGGCCTTCGTCAGCCCAGAATGTTGAGCGGCTTCTCTCAGAGGTTATGGATCTAAGAGTGCAGTCACTGGAAGAGACATTTCTCCCAAGAAGGGGTACAGATGGCCAATGAGCACAGGAGAAGATGCTCAGCATCTCTAATCATGATGGAAATGCAAACCAAAACCACAATGAGACATCATGTCACCTCCATTAAGATGGCCCTTATGAAACAAACAAACAAAAAAAAAAACCAGAAAATGTCGGTGAGGATGCAGAGAAATTAGAACCCTTGTGCACTCTTGGAAATATAAAACGGTGCAGCCGCTGTGGAAACAGTATGGCGGTCAGGCAAAAATTTTAAAATAGCATGACCATAGGATCCAGCAGTTCTACTTCTGGGTATCTACCCAAAAGAGGTGAAGGCAGGAACTCGAACAGACGTTTGTGCACCCATGTCCACAGCAGCACTATTCACAACAGCCAAGAGGTGGGAGCAACCCAAGTGCCCATCGATGGATGAAGAGATAAACAAAACATGGTACATTCATGAAATGGAATGTTATTAAGCCTTGAAAAGGAAGGACATTCTGACACAGGCTCCAACATGGGTGAACCCTGAAGACATGCGAAGTGAAATAAGCCAGTCACAAGAGGACAAATCTTGCACGATTCCACTTATAGGAGGGACCTAGAGTCGTCAAATTCATAGAGATGGAAAGTAGAATGGAGGTTGCCAGGGGCTGGGGAACGGGAGGATGGGAGGTTATTGTGGAATGGGGGCAGAGTTTCCATCTGGGATGAAGGAAAAGTTCTGGAGACGAATGGTGGTGACGGCTGCACAACAATGTGAATGTGCTTCATGCCACAGAAGTGGACACTTAAAAATGGTTAAAATGGTTAACTTTATTTTATTTTATAAACACTTAACCAAACAAAAAAGAAAAAGAGACGGGGCAGAGTCTGGAGCCAGACTCCCTGGATCCCAATTCCAGCTCGAGGCCACTTCGTGCAAGTTGCTAAACCTCGCCTGCGCTCGGCTTCCCTTCCAACGGTAGAAATGGCAACAGCAGTAAGGACCATGCGTCACAGAACTGAGGGAATTAACTGCGTTCACCGTTGTAAAGTCCTTAGCACGTAGTCAGTGCTCAAGAGGGCTGGCTTCTGACATTTATCATTTTTATGACATTCTGCACCCCCCACCCCACCCTTCCTTCCACCTGCTTCTCTTTATTTTCAGCAGAAGCCTGGCCCCAACTTGGATGGAGACAGAGAGGCCCTCACCTGCCCTGAGGAGAATCAGGAAGGCTCCAGGCAGCGGGGAGGGTGCCGGCCCTCAGCTCCATTTCAGCCCAGCTGTCCGGGTCAGAGGCACCCCGCGGGGCATCCTCCGGGGCCATACCAGGCCCCACGCTATTTCTGGAGTCTCCCCAGATGCCTGTGCCCTGGCCTGCCTGGAGTCAGCCTTGTCCAGAGGCAGCCTGGCCCAGGGCCGCACAAACCTCAGGAAGAGGGAGGGGTGTGGGCGCAGACACCGACGGGCCGTCTCCTCCAGCTCGATCCTCTGGGCCTCAGTTTGCACCTGAGGTTGTAAATGGGGACAAAGGGGCTTGCAGTGAAGACTGAGTAAGAGACAGACCACATGCAAAGCCTTAGGGAAGGGCCTAGCACACAGGATGGGGAAAGTGAGGGTTGGGACAGACCCACAGCCAGGCTCACTTCCCGTCCTGGATTGCCCTCTGCCCAGGCCTGAGCTCACCATCATGGCTTTTCCCGGCCCAGAGAAGTGAAGAAACTTACCCAAAGTCGCACAGCAAGTCAGTAACAGATCACAGACAAAACAGTGGTCTCATGATTAAATACATTCCCTATAATGAATACATGTATATTTTTTTCACTCAGGCAATATAGGCACATGGTTCGAAATTCAAGAGCTATAAAGGGAATGAAGAAGAAAAAATTCCCTCCCACTCCTGTCCCCAGTCACCCAGTTCCCCTCCCTGCAGGTACCACTGTGACCAGACAGTTTTATGTCCTTCCAGGGAGATTTTAGGCTCATACAAGCAATGATGGACGTATATTCTATTTTTTACACATACGGCAACATGCTGTGTGTACTGTTTTCATCTTGCTCTTTTTACCCAATAATAGATGTTGTTCTTAATGTTATTAATATATGAATTATAACGTTATTAATATACTTAATGATATATGTTGTGCCACGTCAGTACGTAAAGAGCTCATCAGCCCCCACTGATGGCCACTCAGCCTGTGTCCAGTCTCTCCCGATTACAAACCACACTCCAGCATCAACGCATCTACGTCATTTTGCCTAGAAGTGGGACTGCTGGGTCCAGGGATGCACAGTAATTGTGACAGAGCTGGGGGCCTGTGCTCCATGGAGGCCATCCGGGTGGATCTTCCCACCAGCAGAACACACAGCAAATGGTCCATAAACGTTAGCTTGAGTTATGTAGTTACGGAGGTTACGGACACCCTCAATTTTGTGCTGGAGGCGAGTGCCTCGCTCACCTCACCCTGGCCCCTCCTTACGACACATCCCAGTCAGGGAAGATAATAAACCTACTAATAAGTGAAATTATAGGACATCCGATGTGGGAAATGCTACTGAGGAAAACGAAATAGACCCAGGGGAGGGCAGGGTATATGAAGTCAATAAATATTTGTTGAAGGAATGAATGAAAGACTCCTTTTCTCTCTGAGTGCCCAGAGCTCCTCTCCCCAGAGCCAGGAGGAGGGTGCAGAAGAGAGAGAATAAGCAACTCCCTTTGGAGAAATTCAAGACTCTCCACGGCCATGATTCTGAGTGCCGGGGATTCTAAGATTGAAGCCAGACGGACCGGGAGCCAGCTCCAGCAGTTGTCAAGCCTGACTGCGTGACTTTGGGCAAGGGGCTTATCTTAAACCTCAGTTTCCCCACCTACAGAAGGAAACCAACAATA